GTCCACAAAACACATGTAGACAGGTTGGGCGAACTCCCATGCACCCTCCAGGACCCTGCTGAGGGTGTAGAGCAGATGCTTTTAGCATCCGTTTATTGATATTAGCTGTTTGCAAAATTTAACTTTTGCCAAGTTTAGCTGATTTTATCTTGTGTTGCTCATTTTAACAGCACAATTGATTCTTCTACACCTTTCAGCCCTCAGACATTTCTGAGAAAATGTTTTTTTTCTCTAAAAGTGATTCTTTACAAACATTTCTTCTTCAATGACAACAGTAAATGTGTAAATGTCTCAGGAGGTTACATCMCACACACCACCACTCACGACTCCTTATTTCTCTCAGAGCTCAATCCCACAGATTATGCACCTAACATGTAAATCCATCAGATCAGATTTATTTAAACTGATTTTTAGGACTTGGCTCGTGCTCTGAGGCCTGGCTCAGGTTTTTGTAGCCCAGCAGCTTCTCTCTGGCTGCCCCTGATGTTGTTGTTGTTGTTGTTTTCGGTACCTGATCGCCAGCAGTTCGTGCAGCAGATAGGCAGCAGCAGCGAGCAGAGCTCCTCCGGTCACATACAGCGTTTTCCTCCACCACGAATCCGAACCCAGCGCGGACATCATCCCACCGTAGTCCTGCAGACGGGAGGCGATGATGGACCCATAAAACTGCTCGTCTGAGCCCGGCAGGCCGGAGGAGAAGGTCTGGTTCTGCCTGCCCAGATCAACCACAGACGACCCCGTCCAGGCGAACCCGACGCGCCAGTACAACATGCTCAGCTTCTCCGGCCGCTTTCCGCCTCGCTTGGGCAGGACCGGCCTTCATCAGCGGGGGCTTCATGGGTCCCGGCCGAGGCGGGAGGGGGGCGACTGGACCGGGAACAGCCGGGTGGACCCAAGCATCCCGTCCTGGATGTGTCCCCGAGGCGGGGAAGACTTCCTCCGAAGCTCGCTCGGAGCTCTCTGGTTTGACCCTTCTCCGGTTTCAGTCGAGTCTAATTTTATAACATAGCTGTTTCCGGTTTACTGTTTCAAAATAAAAGTGCCTTTCTAAAGCGCGCGAAAGTCACCTTTGCTTAAAAACAAACAAACAAACAAACAAACAAACAAACGATTAATCTGTAAATACAAAACTCAAAAATGGGTGCATGTTTTACAATTTTTTTTCTACGTTATTATACTGAAACTTTTATTAATAGTGCAGTTAGAAATTGTAGTTTTAGGCCTTTTGAAGTCCATTGCACACAGTATCTATATTTAAGTCTTTGACTGCTTTAATAAACAGTTCTGTAAACATTTCCTGTTGAGCAGACAGCTGAGTCTGGTTCTCGTTCAAAGGGAGTTTTTATTTCCAGTGCTGCCGCTGTTCAGGTTGGGAGACTGTGACTTGGTGAAGATTCAACACAACCTGCTGGCTTCCTTCATTAGACTGATTGTTGTTTGTACAGTGCCCTGATGACATTTGCTGTGACTTATATAAATTACGTTATATACATAAACTGAAGTGAAATGGACGCAATAAATATTTCAGTACCACACGAAGACTACATTTTTGTACAAAAACTGGAATGGCAACCAATAAAACACACAAACCAATAAACATGTTTTGATGGTCTGAGGTGCAAAACACAACATTCTAAAATATATCTGTATATCACATATGTTCATACATGCTGGATGTTTYTTTAATTATCTGATTGTCAAAGCTACATTTGATTTTGAAGGTCACATTATTTTGTTTGTAATACCTACTTCCGCTGTTTTCTGCAGCATTTATGCATCYAGTGACGTCACGGGAACTGACTGTACCAATGTGGGATCTTGTGCAGGAAAACAACCCCTACATTAAAAAAAACAACAAATCTTTCTGGACTTTAAAGGTGAACCTCAGAGAACTGAGTGAAGTTTTTATGTCCTCAATTTGTGATTTTCAGCTTGTCATGTTAACATCTGTTAGGCTTCCCCTACAGTTTCCACCAGGGGTCCTACCACTGCTGCCTGTCTGAGCTGACATTGCAGTTAGGAAAACAGGGTGTTTATCACCCAAAACTGTAATGTTTGAACACTAAGAAAACAACAAAGACACATTTCGTTTGCACACACTTTATTAGCCAACTCAACATTTCAAGTGACAATGTTAGGAAGGGGTTTGAAGTAGTAAATTAGCATGAAGCCCTCTTTCTTAATTCACATGAACAGCAAAAACAAATAAATTTAAAAAAAAAAGGCTACACAAAACCAAACCAAACAAAAGAGGATTTGCTTGATTGAAGGGGTCACTGTCACATCTGTTCATTTCACCCTAAACAAAATCATCTTATTAGCTACTTTGAATGGATTTTTCAAGGGGAGAAAAAAATAATCACCTTAAAACACACTTAAGTGTCCTGTTATTAAGGACTTTTCTCTTATCAGCAGCTTTTATTTTCTAAGGCTTTCAAGCACCTTGTCAGGACAAACAGTCAYGCTCACACACTGCTCCCGCTTCACTACAACAGAGACATCTGCAGGCAGGAGCACAAATGTGTTGCAACTGTTTGGTGATTTACACAGATGGCTGAGAGCAGATACAATTAAAGGAAAAGTTGCAGATAAAGACAAAATGATTTTGATTTGCATTTACACATGCACGCACTAAACAAAATAAAGTCCTTTACCATTTAAAAACCAAGATTTCTACATAAAAAAGCGTTCCACAAAACATTATTCTATTTAGGACAAAAAAAGTAATGTTCAAAACGGGAAAAAAAATCAGCAAAAAGATTTTCCACCATTTTCCGAGGTTTCAAAGTSGGTTTCTGAACAGTTARCATCTTACCTGTTGTAGATAAAGCTCTTGGAAGAATTTTAGACTGGAGAAACATAATTTAACTCAAATCAAATTGAAGTGCTAACAGCTAGCTTGAGTAGGGACTAAAAAGGAATGCAGCCTTAGGTGCAAATTATAACACTATTTTATAAACATTCACACCGCTGACAATAATTTCTAACAAAATTATTTACATTTTCTGCCATAATAGCAGCAGTGGCAACGGCTAGCTGTAGCACTGCAGCCTGGGGCAAATCTCAGAGAAAGGGTCTCTGCAGTTACTAAGTGGGAGTTTTTTGTGTGGGAGGAGTTTGTCCAAGACGTGATTGGTCGGACTGACTACTTTGGGTGGGGTTTAAAGAATGATGGCAGCTGGTGGGACATAATTCTCAGTTTAAATGGCCCGAAAACACCCATATTTTTAAATATAAATATTAATTTAAAAAGAAAGGAAGGTGCTTGCGGCACAGAATTTGGACACCGTACATGTGGAAGGATGTGCAAAAAYCTTTGGTTCAGTCAAAACAACCCAAAGCATCCTGGAATAACATATTTATTTTAACGTAAACGTTAATTTTAGACATTACTTGAGACAGGAAGATGCTAGTCAATAAATTATGCTTACATGTTCACAATAATTTTACTAWTACTATTAATTCATCTTTTAACYTGCCCCACAAGAGAAGTTAACACGACCAATCACAAGAGACTCCCCTTTACGTACTACAGAGACCCATATTTGACGTCTGGCAGGAATTTCACATCTTTGACTAAATAACCAGAGAACGCAGAAATTGACAGCGTAAAGGTTTAAAAAATATACATTWGTTCTTGGTCTGGTTCAAACTAGCTCATCAGGTCAGTCTTAAATAAACTTTTTTTTTCCAAACTTAGGTCGTTCACAGAGCTATCCCCAACATGTCAAATCAACTGTTTTTAACAGAACCCAGCTTTCAAAGATCTAAAACATCCTTTTTGCTACACAAATAAAGTTAAAACAATATTTTATCCTTTTTACTTAAAGCAAAAACAAACGATAAAATCAATGAAATTATAAGGCTATTTACAGCAGGTGAGGGAATGGGTGGAAAAGCTTTTGTTGACATGATTCAAACAGTAAACTCATGTTTCAAAAAGGAGCTTCTCTCAGGATGTTTTCATCCTAAGCTACTGTCTCTTTAGAAGGCAGGAGTCTCCAGTCACRTCTGATTAAATCCAACTCATCTGCTCAGAACCATATCGTTCATGTAGAGGGAGAACTACTGCAATCCCTGAGGAATGAAAACACACGTGTACTACACACAGACACACACGCACAGCACTTGTGATCAAGTTTTCTGAAAATCCCACGGAGCGMCGTACGAAACGACTCGCTCCCCAGGGGCGGTTCAAGGATTTCAGGATTGCTATTAACGACGGGGGRTCTTTTAATGAACCGTCACATTTGTTCTCCAGTCGGGTTTCGTCAGTTTAAATTCAAGTCCGAGTCGTTGGCCCGACTGAGACGCAGCCTGATGTCGTGGCTTCACTTTGCCAACCCAAGAATCCACAATCAGAGGAGGGGAGGGTGAAGACGGAGAGGGTTTGTTAGGCGTGTCAGGACATCTTGATCAGCTTTCGGTGAACGGACTCTGCAGAGGTTGTGATGGGTTTGAAACATTCAGCCCCCTCCCAAAGTGTATAACATTATGGATTCTCATGAGAATGGAGACGTTTTGCTAAGACTGGCTGTAGGAGTTGCTTTGGTTCCCATTGGAGCTCTGATCACTCTCACTGCAGGCAGAAAATAAAACACACATTTTAGTTCATCTTTTCATCATGCTGCAGTTTCCAAGACTCAGCTGAGTGTTCAACAAAAATCTATTATATTAAAATATGTATTTACCCTGAAGAGCAGAAAGAAAGGAAACTAGATGTACCTGTTAGGAGGTGGTTTAGGTTTTGGCATCTTGTTCAGGATAGCAGCGATCTCCTTCCTGTCATCAAAGTTTTTCCACTGTTCGTAAAGCTTCAGCATCACACGGATAATCTCCAAGATCTTCAAACCAAACACAAAAACATTAGCCAACACACAAAAAAATGGCTAAAAGCTCTATACATTGTGCAACATCTCGGTTTAATAATGCAGCATTGTGTTTTGCTGCGCCAAAACACTTTTTGGATCTATTTTAGTTGAAAATGGTTCGTATTAATTAAATTTGGAAACAATTAGAAGAYGTGATTTTGTCATATTTGAAACCCGTTTCAAACTCTGATACAAGAACTTAGTTTGATAAATGTCTGTTCCTCCTCTGCTAACACTGCTAATAGGAGCGTTTAAAATGCGGAAATAAGATGAGCTGAAAGTTAATCCATTTTGTTTCTATTTTAAAACTGAACAAGATATCAATCTTACTTTGTCCATGTCCACYGAGAGCTCAGCAAACCACTGCCTGGCGTCTTTCTGCTGCACCACACAAGCAACATGCAGGCAGGCTGAGGAGGGAAAGAAGAACAAACGATGAACACAAAACTAATAAAGCCTGTTTAAAGCCATTAACTGGGTTTTACCCTGGTGGAAACAGGAAAGCAAGGAGAACAACTCTCACCTAGGGCAATCATGAAGGGAGGGTAGAGCAGACACAGATCTGTCCTGTAAGTATCGTTCACGATCCGCCTGAGAAAAACAGAYGGGACGCTGAGTGAGGAGACCGAAAACTAATCAAACAAACCTGTTTYTCCAMAAACAAATACCAGGCCAGAGGCAGCAGCATGTCCTCCTGTCCCATGTCCTGCACATACTGCARGAGGGGTCTGTAGGGGTGGTACACAATCAGGCAGCAGTCCTAAAACACACGTTAGAGCAGAAAGTAAATGACCYTGATGATCGTCCACTTGCACCAAATTAAGCTTTGTGGAGACGTGTCTACTCACCATCAACTCTAAAAGGTAGAACTCACATTCTAAAATCTGTAAAGACACAAATTAGCTCTGAATTCAGTCTGAAAAACATGAACAAAAAACATCCTGCTCTAAGAAAATCTAATATTCACATGATGTAGACCATTTTTGTAAAACTAGGAAGTGTTTAGGATGTATATATTATAATTAGTGTGAAGTTGAACACTGATACAACATTCATAAATAAAAATGTACTTTTACCCAACCAGTGGGGAGCAGATACTGGACCATTGTTACACCCCATTCAAAGATAGTTACGAACCCSTCCTCCGCCCTGCCTTTGATAAAACCCACATCTGAGATACTAAATAAGTCCATTGCTGCTGCTCAGTGGGACTGACTCAAGTTACTCATACCTGTGCAATAACCTGCTACACAAACTTACATGCTATGTGCAATACACATATTCTAGAATACATGTTTACCATAACCACTACTATCATAGGTGAAATACCGTGTATATACAGTGGGGAGAACAAGTATTTGATACACTGTTGATTTTTCAGGTTTTCCCACTTGCAAAGCTTGTAGATGACTGTAATTTTTATCATAGGTACTCTTCAACTGTGAGTGATGGAATCTAAAACAAAAATCCAGAAAA